AAAGCAGGGTTAGTGGGAAGACCTTTAGAATATTCCACCGTTCTGTCTACGGCCATACCACCCTGAGCGCGCCCTATCTTGTCTGACCTCAGAAGCTAAGCAGGGTCGGGACAGGTTAGTACTTGGATGGGGGAATATTCCACTGTTTGCAAAAAGACTACTTTTCTAACATCTGTTAACTTTGCCTTCAAATTCTCCCTCCCATTACAAATCAGTTTACTATCTATGTCTTAGAAATTCATTATATGATAGATTAACATAGGAGTATTACTCTTATTTGTTGTGTGGAGAAAAGTGTGTTAGAGGGAGGGAAGTTTGGGGACCAGATTGAAGCAAGACTAACAGCCTGGAGGCTTGTGGAGCATGCAGAATGAAGTGTTGCTATAACTTCACGTATAGCTGTACTCTTTTCATTTTGTAGGGCTATGAATTCACACTGTCTGTTAAATGTCCTTCAGTAGGGGCCTGTTAAGCTAATTTCTTATTCCAAATTTCTTAGGTCTTAGATATGCTGAGCAGTTTAATTTGAATGAATTGCTGTTTTCTTCTGAACAGCTGGTAGAAATGAACTCTCTACTGCCTCCCCCATTGCGTGTGGTGTGTGTGTGTGTGTGTGTGTGTCTGTGTGCATGCACGTGTGCACATACTGTTACTAGCCAGTTGGTCACACTAGAGATTCTGAGATGGCCATAGCTAAAAGGCCTGGTTAAAAGATTACACTGGGATAACTTCTGAGTGCACTGCAGCTTTTCAGAGGAGCAGCACTAATAACAATGATTACACCTTATGCTGGACAGTGCTCTAGTTCTTCACACTTCATTCTCAACAGCCTAATGAAGTAGTTCTGTTATTAAACTCAGTTTGCGTGTGAGAAATCCAATAGACAGAGAGTTTAAAAGCAATGAGTCCTGTTTACAGAACTAGAAAGTCTTGTAAACAGGGTTTGCACTTACATAATCTTCTGGTCTGGGCTCTTAACCACTGCCGTAACACCAAAAGACCAAGGCGATCCTGTCTTGACATTAGCTTGCCTCTTACTTGTAGCATTTGTTTTTGTTGTTGTTGTTTTGTTTTTGCTTTTTTAGACAGGGTCTCACTGTGTAGTTCAGGCTGGCCTCAAACTCACAGCGATCCTCCTGCCTCAGCCTCCCAAGTTCTGGGATTACAGGCGTGCACCACCAGGCCCAGCAGCATTTCTTTATTATAACTAACTCCAGTGGACCCTAAGGTACCCAGGTTGGGTACCAATTTATGAGATTCAGAAGGTAAGGATCCCTTTTAACACGCAGATGGTAACTCAGCTCTAGAAAGTGGAAAATACTCTTCTAGGAACTTTGTAAACAGAATTAATATGAGAGGAAAGTCAGTTTCTCCAACCTAAGAAATGATAGGAGTTCCTGAGAACTTAGTTTACTCTGAAAAACTGTCTAACCACAGGATAAATTACACCTTTATCCCACAGGAGATTATACTTTGACAAGATATATTAAATATTTTTGTTTTGTAGAACACCCCTGTAAGATAGGTCCACTCTTAACCCAGTTTATATAGGAAATATTCCAAGCACAGGAAAGGATGTTGATGTGTCTACAATCTCCCAGCAATTCCAGAATTGAAAATACCTTTCCTTGTGCTTTTATAGTTAGTTGGTATTTACATTGTAGTCGCTTGCTTCTAAGAAAAAACAAACAGCCAGGATTTGAATGAGATGTTAAATGCTTGGCAAGCAAGTGTGAAGCATTATGCATAGAAAAAAAATGTTTCCATTTTCACCTGCGACCTTATTTAAAACATTTCATCTAAATCCTGTAGTTCCTTTTTAAAAAGTAAAATAAAATCGTACTTCTGAAGGTTAGTCTAAGCCATGTGATCTCCTCATTTTTGCAACAGCAGAAATCCGTAGCAACATGCCTAGAAAATATGACTTGTTACTTTCCAGGTGTGTCCACATTTCCTCCTTCAACATTTTCTTGCTTCTTAAATGAGAACATCTTCTTCACCTCTGCCAGGATGTTAAGTAGTATTTTTCCATGTATGCAATGAAAATTCCCATTTGAGCTAAAGTGAACCTATATTGTGGTCCAGAAAATACTTTAGTTCATTCTGAAATTCTTCACTTCCCCTTTAGACCAAAGTAATTTAAAAATCAGGCAATTTAACTTTCTGTTATTAGCTTAGTACTTAGGCAAATCACACCAGCACTCTAAACCAGTCTATATTTGTTAGTGTAAGAAAGTTAATATTAAGAGTTCTTAATCTTAAAGCATTTAGTTTTTATTTGATCATTTTATGTGGCCTACTTGCAAGAAAATACCCTAACATAAACCTCTTGTTCTTCCTTTTGTTCCCCTAGTTCTCCTGCTTGGGGCCTTTTCTACTCTCCATGGAGAGATGTTGGCCCCAGTTTCATGAGCTGGAGGGCAAGATATTCTTCTAATGCACAGGGCTTGCTTCAGGAGAAGGTGTCCGGGTTTAAGGCCGCGTGGGAAGACTAATTTTAGCATTAGGGTTTTATGCACACCATATCTTACAAATTTTTCCCTAAAATGCTTTTTGTATTGCACACATTTAAAAAGATGAAACCAATTAAATTTTTACAGTAGGAAAAGGATGAGAGAGAAACAGAAAAGATGCAAAGAGTAGAGGAGGAAAACAGTTTCAGAACACTCGGAATTTCAGTATGTTACTCTGTTACAGGTTTGTCCTCTGCTTTGGTAATGTTCAGTTTTGCACAGCACATGTCAGGGTGACAAATGCTTTCTCCAGCATCATTGTCGTCATTATTTGCTCTCTGCTTTTAATAGTCAGGTTTATTTATATCCCAATTAAGAATTGTCTCTGAAGACTGTGATGTTCTTTGTAGTAAATTATAGTCAATTGGGTGTACAGAGTTGTTTGTGGTCATGACTCTGTTTTAATATTTTATGCTTAGTTCCTCATACTTAATTGCATATCAGATAGTGAAAACAGAAATGGAGGCAAATCATCATCCTCTGGCCTTTTATAGGCAAATCTGGAGAAAGAAATTAGCCACCACTGCTTACAGCTTCTTTCCCAGTACCCTTCCGTGGACGCATGTGCACATGCATCACCCTCTGTCTCCGACCGATTGTACTTCTCACTGCCTCCCACACCTGATGAGAGCACCTGTTCTTGTAGCTTTGCCCACTTCATTGCTCTTCCCGGCCTCCATTGCTGCCTCCTCTTCTGTTGTTGTTCGGGGCAGCACTCTCTTAACGAAAAGCCAAGAAGCTTTGTATTAAGACAGACCTGGTTGCCATTTACTTACTGTTGGACTTGAGGCAAATTGCTGAAATTTACTGGTAATCCATTTCCTTATTTACAAAGTGAGGATTAATAATACCTCACAAAGTTTTCATGGCAGAAAAGTGGAAGGAAAAAAATAAGCACTTAATAAATATTGGCTCCCTTCTTTGCAGTTCCCCTTTAGTAGGCCTATGTGTTCTGCACAACTCAAGTTCTGCAGTTTGTCTCTGAAGCACTTATTTGGCACAGCATGCTGCCACCATATTACTTACTTTGTGTTTACCATCTTCCTAAGTTGCTTGTAAGTTTCTTGAAAACTAACACTCGCTTGAAGAAAAGATCCCTCGGTTTCTGACACAGCCTTGTTGTGTATAGTAGCCTCAGACATGTGAGAATATAGAACTGGAAAATACAAAGCAAGTCCCTAAGTGTGGGGTCTCCTTACTGTAAATTTCTTACTTTGGAAAAGGTGTTGAGTCCAATGCATTTCTTGGCACAATGCAGGAAATAGCTTGAGGAGGCCTTTCTTAAAGTATGAAGCCTAAAAAGAAGCCATCAAATCCAGAAAAAGACTTCTTGTTTATCCGTTGCTGCAGAGCGAGCTTGGTTGGGTACACATCTCTTTGAGACAACATTCTTTAAAAAAAAAGCTTTTAGAACATGTTTGAATGTCCTGGTAAAGGAGAACTCTTACACAATCTTGACTAAATAATTGTCCTCTGACAGGAATTTTGTGACCTTCTACCAAATAGGCACCTTGAGTGACGATGTGAATAGAGGACATAAAGGAGAAAGAAGGTACCTGCTCATTGAGCCAGAGCAGCTGGAATAAACCAGTGACAGCAGGGATACCTGGGATAGCCATATCACTGACACATCAGATACGAGATCCTAGTGTTCCCTTACTCAGAAAACGACCCTCAGGTGGAGCTAAATATTGGGTTTGTCCATATTAACACACACTTGCTAGTGGGATCAAAACCCTTTGACTCATGATCAGTGTAGAAATACAATGAAATGAAACCATTCTATATAAATGATGTGCACCAGTTTTTTAAAATCCTGTTTCACCACAAAACTATAGTAGAAGTCAGACCCACTCCATATATCAAAAATATTAAAAATGCAAGAATTTCATTCAAGATAGGGCATTTTATGCATAGATAAATCTTTAACCACATGGCCTGAACTTGTTTTCTGAAAGAAAATAGGTACCTTTGCTAAATCACAGTCTTAAGGAAATCTCTGCCATTACCCTCCTTTAATTCTTTGGTTTTCAATTTTTTATAATCCCTTACCTTTGGTATATCTCATTTTTTCTGTGATGCAAGAATGGTAAATTTTTCTGCTCTAATTCATCTATCAGATTTATTCGGGTACTAATCCATCATGTCTCACCTTCGAAAAGCAAATAGAAGGAAAATGTTTTGATATTTTTAACTTCAAGGGAATATTTCACAGTAGCCATTATGAATGGAACAAGATCTTGATCTTGATCTGTGTTGTCAGGTTTTCCCCCTGAATGGTTGGTTCTTACAGTAGCCTAGCAGTTGAAACTCGAACTTCAGGGCAATCTTGTAACAGAAACAATCTGGCTGTGTGTGCAGTGCTCTGCTAGAGAAACACTAGTCTTGTTAGCTTCTTGCTCGTCTTGATGTTTGGGGGCCTTGCGTTACGGGATGGTGCAGAAGAGATGTTTCTAACGTGGTATATCTGTGTCTCTTGTCATTGAGGTGATTGTCATGAGAAAGCCCTGGACAACGGCCATGGCAAACAGAAATATTATGACCAACTGCAGTTACTGGATGCTGCTGAAGAAGAGCCCTCTGACAGAGGGACAGAGGAAGACCCTGAGCTCTCTGTGAGGAACTCAAGGAGGGGCCCTGAGGCCCTTAGACTTGAAAGTAAGTTGATTTGACCTGAGCCGTGCTTCTGGGGAAGAATCAACTCTCGAGCTTTAACCTTAGGCTTTTCTCTCCTTTCAAGAGTTCTTTTAAGAGCCACTCATGTAGAACCACAAGCGTGACCCTCAGAGGGTGAGGCAGAAGATCAGCTCCACTTGTGACCATGCTCTTCTCACTCTCTGTCTTCCACCTCAGTGTTGACTTTCTCTAGAACGAATCTGATTCGTTTCTTCTCAGTGTCACCACTCTTAAGTCATGTGGGGCGGGGGGGGGGGGTTATATTTACACTAACTGGGTAAAATGTGAAGATTTGGAATACTGGCCACATCTACCAGGCCCTCTCCTGATGTTCCACTTGACGACTACATTTTGAACTGTGCATAACTCCCCCTTCTTGAAACTCTCTTCTCCACTCTGGAATCACTTGTTCTTAGCTCTTACCTGTCCTCACACCATCTTTTTCAGTTCTTTCCCTTGTCCTGTACTCTGCCCATTTATTTGTTGGGGTACCCAGTATCCTAACCTTTGTCTAATTGTCTTAGCCTTCTACCTCTTACCTCATAGGAACTTGACACCTTTGAACACACTAGTGATTCCAAATGTATATTTTCATCTAAGACGTTCTCTATTAACTCCAAATGTTATTTCTACTTTTTACCATAAAAATGTCTTTGTGTGCCACAGGTACTTTAAATTTAACATACCCAAAATGGAATTTGACCTTATTTTACCTTATTTCCTCAACCATTTCCAATTCCTGTATTCCAGATATCTGTTAATGTATCACAACTCACCCAGGTACCCCTATATCCAGTTCATCTCTAGACCTGTTGAATCCATTATCTGTTCCTTCTGCCATTGCCTGAATTTAGATTTTGTTCATTTCTGCCTTTGCTTTTGCAGTAATCTGTTAATTTGGTCTCTGAGCTCTAGTCTGTTATTTTACTTTATGTATGAAGAAAAAAACGGAGAGACAGGGATAACAAGCGAGTACAATATACTTGATGTAGCAATTTAAAATCAGAAGCAGACACTGTTACCAGTTTTGTGTGTGTCCATTGCTGGACAAAATACCCAACACCTGCAGCTTAAAGGAGAAGTTTCAAAGGATTTTATCTGCGGTCAGTTGGCCGAGAGCAGGAACATCAGTACCAGAAGGGTGTGCTCAGTTCATGCAGCCAGGAAGCAGAGCAGCGGTATCCACGCTAGAGAAGAGGAGCCTACTCCCCCCCAATACACACACACACTCCCTAGGCTTTATTAATTGCCTAGTTGGCTTTGAAGCCAATCAGGTTGACAATCCAGCTTAACCCTCACAGTGTGTGTCCAAAGACTTGTTTCTAAAATGCACTTCTGATCAGGTAAGTTGCCTAGCTTGAAGTTTTTCAGTGGCTCACTTCTTACCTATTGGTAGAATTGAATTATCTTGGAGAGAAATGCAAGGCACTGTGGCCCCCAGTTCTCTCTGCAACTCGGTCACCTACTAGTACACTGCATGGCAGGAAGCACACGCTTTTCGCCCTTGCCCTCCCCTCTCCCACTGTGCTCTTCTAAGCCCTGCCCATCTCTAGGGCAGCTGGGTGCATACGCTTTATGTCTTATTTCCCACCAGACTATGAACTTCGTGTATGCCATATTCTATGTAACTTTGTATTCCTTGTATACATAAATATTTGTTAATTAATATATTTTCCTTCCAGTATAGACAAGATTAACATACTTAGCAACTATGAAATCTTATCCTTTTAATATTGCATATAAAAAAATGACATCTAGTAGAAGCAAGCTAAACCTCAAAGAGGAAGAGTACTGCTGTGACCTTTAATCTCTTACCAGAAGCTATTGGACTTTAAAGAAACTAAAGCCCATTTACCAAATGAGAAGAGATTTATTCTTAACCTGGATGGCAGTTTGTTCACTTACCATGGGACAAGTCCTCTTTGGTCCCTGGTAGCCTAATGTCCCCTTTTTTTTGGAATTAGGAGACTCATAACTAAATGAACGCCATGAGCTTGCGTGGTGTCCCAAGAATCAACAGACAGAAGTGGGGTAACATTAGGGAGATCTGATTCCATTCATAGAAACAGTGCTTATGCCAAAACACAATACAACTCCCTAGTGACTAGGATATTTATGACTACTGAATTAGTCTTTTTTTTTCTCTAGGACAATTCAGAATAAAACCCAACCAAAATCTTGTCTTTTAACTCCCTTTTTTATGAACACATCATCACTTGAAGCAGATTATATAACCTAGTCTTTAAGTTTAATTCCATGTTCTCCATGGAATTCCATTCTGTCTCATACTAGGGATAAAAGCAGACCCAGGTCCCTTCGGCAATGTACAAACCATCCCTTAGGGTTGATTCCTTTTCCCGTTGCTAATTCAGTCTACAATACGATGATGGCTCTTCACTAATTTTATTCTCAGGTGTGAAGGTGTGGACTTCTCCTTACCATGTGTTTTAATTCTAGGAATATCTTGGTCTTACTCTCAGGTACTGACAACAAACGCATGTAACTATGGTTATAAAAGTTACCGTGTTCATACCAGTAGAAAAAAGCCAAACACATACGTATCAAAAAGAAAGGAAGAGGTCCGTTTAGATGTCCTTTTTTAATTTATCATTTTGCTAAGGGCTGGTGAAAATTGTTTCACTGATGAACATTTGAAAATCACTGTTTCATCTCATCTAGTCTAGGATCCTCCATGACAAACCCCGGTTATGCAAGGAAGAACACAGGTTTGTGGTCAGAGCATGGTCATGTCCTAGCTCTGCCACCTACTAACTGTTAAATCTACTCAGCTTCCTTTATCTTGCTGATTTAAAACTGAACAAACAAAAATATCCTATAGAGTGGTTTTGAGTAGTTGAATAAAAAAAATTTCAGAAGCATTTATTTTAGTGCCTGGGATACAGTTGGAATCCAGTAATGTTCACTTACACAAACATAGGCATGACGTACTGTACTACTTCAGGACTGACAGGCTGCTTGTGAGCTAAAGTCCTCACAAGCATATACGCATAGAACATGCTCCGTGAACAACTGTCCAGCTAAAGAGAACCCTAACCTATTTGCCTGTTAGTTAATTATGGAAGGAGTCCGTATTTGTTTTTCTTGGTTATCTTGAAGTTCTCTGTTTTCTCTTGCTATACTGACTCAGTTAAAAGAAGGAGAGTTATGGAAATTAAAACTCATAATTATTATTTTCTGCTCAGAAGTAAATTTTTTACCTGTCTTAGTCTGAGGGAGTTAAGCCTTTTGTGCTTTCTGCTTATGGGCTTGAAATTGTATGCCATTGTTGATTATTAAATCGTAAGCCAATCTGCAGCTTTACAATCTCACTTCAAATCAGATCACTGACATTAAGGAGAAGACTGGAACTCCAGACAGCATTGCACAAGGCCCTGTGGTGGTGGAGTCCTAATTTGGAAGTCCTTAGTAGGACTAAGAATGTACCAGTCTATACCTATAGTATCTATTAAAGGTAAAATGTGTCCTGCTGTCCCCCGAAACCACGTTAGTACTCACAGCTGTTGGTACTACTCATACAAGATGATCTGGAGGAAATGTTTTGTGTCACTTTTGAAAGGAGGACTTTGCTTTGCTGTCCATTTCTTCGACTGTCTGACTTCATTCATCTTTGTTTACTGTCCACTTGTTTGGTTGTGAATCTCATACTTTGCACCCTTTGCTCCCTAGTACTCGTCTTCCAGGATTGTCAGTGCTGTGTCCTGAGATACAGTCACATTCCTTGACTCACCTGATAGCTTTCTACCTCTCAGTGGTTTCCCCAGGAAGTCACTCACTGGCTTCTGCTTCTCCCTCAAGCACCCTGACCTCGGCCTCTCCCTGGATGACCCATTCCATTTTCACCGATTCAGATCTTTCCTAACATTGAGTTGAGATACGGTTTTTCATTCTAGTTCTGCCTGACAGCGTCAGTCTTATTTCTCATTATCCTCACATCTCCTTAGATGCTTGAAGAAGGTTATTGTTCTCGCCCACCCCTCCCCAGTTCTTAGCCTCCTTTCAGTTAAATGTCTTCATTTCTTTCAGCAACCAATCTCGTGTCATGGCTTTTATTTTAGTTTATTTTTTTTTATTTTTGTTTCTTGAGACAAAGTCTCGACATGAATTCCAGTTTAGCTTTGAACTATGTAGCCCAGGCTGGCCTTGAACTCGCGGCAAAGCTCCTGCCTCAGCTTCCCCAGTGCTGGGACTACAGGTGTGTACCACCACATCCAGCATGTTACGGCTTTTAATCCCTCTGCCATCTTTGAAGTCATCTCTGGGATTTTTCAAAATCTTTCTAGCAAAATCTTTTTCAAGCCTGGGTTTTGGTGCAGTATATCAGCTACTGCTCTCACCACTGGGAATACCCTTGGCTTCTTTGGTCCTTCTTCATTTAACATGATCTGAGTACTTCCACCAAGTCCCCGTTCTGCTTCAGAAAGCTCTTTAACAGAGGTGCCCAGGCTTAGACACCAATCCCCAGGTGTGTTGGGCGCCTGCAGGATTGTGCTGATCTGCTTTGTATTTGGGGCGAGGCCATAGCAGCATAGCTCCATCTCTCAGCACTTTGCCTAGTGCCCTGGGTTAGACTTCATCCAAGTTGGAAATGTGAACTCACGCCAACTTCACAATATTTATTCTTTTTCCACTGTGAAAATGGTACCTGGGTCTTAAGAAGACAAAGAAAAAGTAGAGACGTGGGTCTCAGTCTCTGTTTTTAGTTTCTGTCATACCATCTGCTCCCCAGGCAGCAAGCCTAAGATTTACTTCTTCCTTCATCCAGTCCTCCTCCCAAACCAGAATTCTGTTTTCCCAGCCGTATCAGACTCTTACAGGACAGCCTGTGTAGGACAGTGTCTGGAGACGTTTCCTCAAGTTCCATGGGTTGTAACATTCCAGCCCTCGTTTATTAAATAAATGAGTTAATGATAAGAGTCTAAAACCCCAGCTCTTTATCCTCTTGTACTCGCCTGTTGTCTCGGTAAATAGCATTGTGTTTTCACATTCAGATTGTAAACCTACATTCATATAGTAAGAATCCCATATTTCACATTAGAATCTTGAGATCATCTTTAAGCTCACCATATTATTAATTTTTTTCTCTATTAAAGCTTCTTCACATACCTCCCACACCCCCCACCCCTGTAAAAAATTCTCTTTGCCTTCAGCCCACTTTGAGCTCTGAAACCCCTTTCCAACTGGCCTCCTTGTCTTCCGTCCTTCTCCTCCTTTCCCAGCACTCCCCCTCCCAATATACCAACTGATTACCACTCTTAGGACGCTGACCTTCAGCATTAGTATGGCCCTCTTGTTACCCTGTTGTTCTTCTGCTTACGAAGCAAGAGGCTCCCTTCTGAAGGAATCCTCTTCCTGACTTTCCCAGACATTCTTAATGTCACCCACCTTCCTGGGAATCTTACTTACTCTGTCTTCACCATATACTCTTCTGATTGATTTGAAGTTAGCAGTGTCATCACACATGTCCTCCTTATCCCTGCATGTGTTTAGCTGTTTGGGTACATGCGCCTATGTATGTGTGCTATTTAAAAGAAAAAAATCACTCTAAAGAACGCCTCCCTGGCCCTGACCCTTTTCTCTCTGTCCTAACCCTGCCATAGTGGTCTGTCTGCCTTCCCCTAAAAAGCATTTTGTGATTGCATTCAAATAGTGTTTTCTTCTAAAAAATGAATTGTTCCATGTATATACTTTCATGTCTCTGATTTGATTACAAATTGGTTATATTTAATTCCTTGGGATCAGAAATCTTCATACTCTTTGTTCCCACCCTTACAGCATTTGTAGCACAGAGATAGATAGTAGGCTCTAAATAAATAAATCAGTTATTTTTTTAATTCATAGCACATTTATAATTACTGATTCCTAGCCTGTGGGGCGTAAATGTAAAAATATGTATGCATATCATGTTGTTTGGGCATTGTGATCACCTGGACCTCAGCAGCCTTTGCAAAGGTCTAATGGCTTCCAGCAGCACATTCCATTGTCTCTTCATTGGAATACTGATTTCCACTAATAAAAGATCCTTTCACTAAGAACTGTAATAATGACATATTACCATACAGTAAGGGTACAGGGAAGCAATAACATTTAGGAGCTAGGTTTGCAGAACTTTTCAGGTAAACAGCATGCATGCTTTCCAGACAGTACTTACTGAAAAGAAGAGAGGCTTCCAAATATGTACAGTATCAGTGTGCAGCTGCGCCTATACTCTGGGCTAGTAGTTACCTGTGGGCTCCCTTTGGCCAAAAGCCACTTTTCTTTAAGCCTTTATTTTTTTGCTGGAGTAGATCTACCAAAAATTTCCTATCTCAGAACCAGGTACAAGGAACCATATAGTAGCCATAAGGGAAAGTAGGAGAAGAATCTAAAATGAGGTGAGGAATACTTAGAGACACTCTATTGCTACAAGTCAGATTCTGTGCACCTCTTCTAATTAAGTTGCTGTTTGGGGTCGCAGTAGCAGCCCTGGCCAGCTGCAGCGACATTTTAAATCAAATAGTGTCTCAGACACCGTGCCAAGGTGTGATGCCCGATTGTTTTGCTTACCATTCAGCTGGGCTGACTGCAGTAGCAAGTGACAAGGCAGACCTTAGCATCTGAACTCTTGAACCGCCAGTAGGACAAGGCAAAGGCAGGAGTAACAGGCTCTCAAGACCTTCACAAACCAAATTGTTCAGAGTTCCCAGTAATCCCTCCCACAGCCATCTGGCTCAACTCTGCACCAGGTTTAATGTTGAGCATTAGCAATATCCTAGCAAACAGAGGAGCTGAAAAGTAGACTTCTTTGTCTGCCTATATTTATACTACTGGCTGCATGATTTAGGAAAGTAACCACTTTTGTCTATAAATTCTAAAAGTTTTGGCAAACTCATACGCTTGTTTCAGAACTCGGTTAAAAATAATAATAGGGCCGGGGATTTAGTTCAGAGGTTCTGGCCCCTGCCTTGCAAGCACAAGGACCTGAGTTCAATCCCTGGTACCAAAAAATAATAATAATAATAATAATAATAATAACAATAATTATAAAAAGCCATAGAAACCAACACATTGGTTTAGAAAACATAAAAGGACATACTTGAAAAGACAACATTACATTTTCTCATGGCTTATTAATAAATACATGACCCCTGTCATTTTTTCAAGAAAGAATAAGAGATTACTAATAGTACCCCCAGCCTCCCCCTCTCTATAATAAAACGTGGGACAGAGACACTACCAGAGCTGAGGCTGAAACTGCTGGTCCTCTGCGTGTACGGCTGAAAGCTTTAAGTCATTTTCAGCACTGGTGGCAGCCTTGGTTCTCACTCGAAGCCACCTCAGAGACTACAGTGTGCGTTCCTCAGAGGAGCTGCGAGCTGTGCCTGTTGACTGGTCAGTATGACAGTCCTGACCCTGGCCTAATTATCACTATGTTAGGAATCCCTGAACAAGCCAGAATTACCAGCTGATGAGTGTTGTCCTAGAATGGCAGGCTGACATTGTGTGAGCCATCAAGCTATGCTCCCAGGTTATCTGGGTGCAAGTTATAAAAGGAGGCTTTTAAAAATATTTTGGTACAGGGTCTTGGAACTGACACATGTACACACACTTTTTGAGACAGGGTCTTGGTAAGTCACTAAGTTGCCCAGGCTGAGCTCAAATTTGCCTTCAAAAGAAAGCATTTTGTTTTTGTTTTTGTACGCTATCTACTTCCAAAAAGGATTAGAGATGACTTTTGTAGAGCACACAGTGTAAGGTGCAACCTTTAATGCAAACTAAACAGCAAAAATTTAATCCAGAAGAGGAAAGCATTGTTTCACAGAACTCAGAATCATGTGCCCTGAGCTTCCCTTTTATCTAAGCATAGAGGGAAACTTGGAGAGTTGTGTGGCGTTCGTGAGGCTATGAAGGAAACAACTGCGTTCTCGGGAGAGAGGATTTCCACTAGGTCATTTCGCTGACACATCCACAGGAGTCTTTATGTACTTGAGCAACATAAATTTTTATCTTAGTAAACATTTTAGGAAGAAATTGCACAAGTATATCGATACTACTTTTATCAGCCATTATGAAAATGGGAACCTTCATGTGGAATTAGGATAGTTTTTCATTAAAGAAATCATTGTTCAGGTAAGGCAGTTAAGCCAGCTATGTCAGCTGCACATGCAGCTGTGATATTTCATGACATTGGAATAAAGTTTGAAGAATCTCACATATTAAATTAAATACCCGTAGTAAACTTCATGTCTTTATTGTCTATGTTTTGTATACAGAGCAAGTAAATCTTTCAAAAAATAACACATAGCACGGCTGTTTTCATACTCACTAGAGACATAATCTGTGATTGCCTACCATTAAGCTACTGCCATTGTTCTTAGCCAGGCTTTTGACCAAAGATAGATGACTAAAATGATACTCTGTTAGGGATTCTGAAGATATTGGAGGGCATTTTTATGAAGGTAGGCTACAGAAGTGCCCCGAAGCAAAGCCCAGAGTCTTCCCCAGAAGCCAGTTGGAGTTGCACACATAGTAGAATGAGCTTTGTGGAAATACGCTGTTTTGTTGTAATATGCTGGTCCTTGAATTTCAGGTACAGTGGTTGAAGAAAGCAATGGTTCTGATGAAATGGAGAGCTCAGATGAAACAAAGATGTCAGAAGAAATACTGGCTTTGGTGGATGAATTCCAACAGGCGTGGCCCTTGGAAGACTTCGGAGGAGCACTAGAGATGAAGGGGCGGCGTCTAGACTTACAAGGGATTCGGGTCCTGAAGAAAGGTCCCCAGGATGGAGTGGCCAGAAGTTCTTGCTATGGTGACTGCAGAAGTGAAGATGACGAAGCAACAGAATGGGTGAGAACTTCGCCAGGGCAGCCCTCAAGGAATTGTAGCCCAAGTCTTTGAGAGGGCTCATAGTGTGCACGGAGGTGAAGTTTTTGTTGGGTTTGTAGCACTGCTTACTCCATATTCCAGGACAGCCATCATACTGGAACTGTACTCAGGAAGCTTTTTGAGTTGCTCGTACCAGCTCTTCTAGAAGGTTCAAGGAAATGGGATGGGCGTAAAGCCGTAGCCAAAGCCTGGAGACCTGAAACTGCCCAGATCAGATATCTTACTTTGCTTTTCTGCTGTACACACTCTAAGAATTGGTGATTTTATTCATTTCATTAACCGTTTTTTATTTAGACCTTTAAGAATTAAGCTTAGGGTCAGACAAAGGACTACTATCTAGAATATATAAAGAAGAGAAAAGGAAAAAAGGAAAAAGAAGAAAAAAAGAAATAAAAAAAAGAATTAAGCTTAAGGGCCAGGGATTTAGCTCAGTGGTTCCGCCACCTGCCTTGCAAGCACAAGGTCCCAAGTTCAATCCTCAGTACCCCACCCCCCAAAAAAGAATTAAGCTTACCTGGGTACTGTGGCCTTTAATCTCAGCACTTGGGGGGCCAGGGCAGAAAGATCGCTTACCCCTAGAGGTTTAAGACCAGTCTAGGCAACTTAGTGAGACCCTGTCTCAAAAAAAGAAGAAGAAAAATGAAATTTAAGGAGAGTCTCAACTGTAGCACAGGAATGAGATTTTTCTTTTCAAGCTATTTTTTAAACTTAATACATAAGAATTACACATAATCATGGGATTCATTGGATATTTCAAGTATACAATCGCAGTGGTCAAAACAATAAGCACATCCATCTGGGTTATTCTGAAAGCCGCTGATGTCCACGGTGAGTGACAGATCTGATCATCAGTCTCATTTGTCCCTAACATGTTTTTGTTTCACAGATCACATTCCAGGTCAAACGAGTTAAGAAACCCAAAGGAGATCATAAGAAAACTCCCGTGAAAAAGGTGGAATCAAACCAAGCAGAAAACGGACACCGTTACCAAGCAAACCTGGAGATCACTGGCCCAAAGGTGGCATCTCCTGGGCCGCAGGGTAAATTCCAGTGTTTAGGATGCCGGTTTCTACCCTCAGATTTCACTCTCATTTCTCACAAAGGATGCATTATGACTTAGAGCAGTTTAAATGAGAAGGTAAAAGGGCAAAATCAGGCATTGGTGTAAAATGTTCATGTTGACATTTACTTGATTTTTTTTTTAACCATTGACTATTTGTCTTATACTCTTAGCTTATACTTGAAGTTTAAATATCCTATTAATTCCTAATACAACATCCCAGTGTAATATGTCTAAAAGTGTGGCTCGGGGACAGATTCCCTGGGTTCAGATTCCCTGGGTTCAGACACTGGATTTGCCATTCATTTTTCTGCTTCTTGTTTTTCTTATCCATAAAATGGGGGTAATGATCACATCTACATTAGAGGGTGGCAGTAAGGATTGTGGACTTTATACACGTAAAGTGCTTTATCCATCAGGCACATAGGCCTCAATAAATAGTAACTATCTAGTATGTTTTTGTGTACCAGACAACTCCATTAAATACTGGATAAATGTTTTGGAGCTTATTACCCCAGAGTTTAACATGTACTTTCAAGAGCTCACAGTTATCCCAAAGCTCATCTCTGGGCCCCAGTTAAGAGCCAGTGCCATGAACCCGGTGGACTTTTTCTTCCAACAATTAAATTGTTGTGATAGAATTCCTTGTTAAAAATGTTATATCCCTTTAAAGCGCTATTTATACTGTCATTGACTGAAAATTCAGGTCATTAAAATGTCTTATTTAGTTACCAGAGCTGAAGGCAGAGGGCACATAATAAAATAGGAGGAATGGGGTCAGCTTGGCTGCACTCCAGAGTGAGCTTGTAAGAAACTGAGGACACTGAGAAGGGTGTTTGGTCGTGACTAGAGGTAAAAAGCTTGGATTGCTTGTACTGTTGAGGATGCCAGCATTTGCTGACAAATTGCGGAACGAAAGTAACTCTCCTCCTTTTAGGTCTGTTTCTGGATCAGTGTAAAATATACTGAAAAGGGGCCAGGGATTTAGCTCAGTGGTTTCACTGCCTGCTGCACAAGCGCAAGGACCCGAGTTCGATCCCCAGCACCAAAAAAATATATATATATATACTGAAACTGTAAAACATGGAGATGAAAATTCCTGGACTAAACATCAGATGTCATAAATCATGATGGAATAAAATTTAGATGAATTTTACATGCTCTTAAGGTGAAGGACTTTGTAAGGCAAAGAAAGAGAAAAACAGTAAAACTCTGGCACCAGAAGGTACCACAGAATAAAAAGATAAAGGACTGACATACAATAATTTTCACCAAATATTTCTATACACATATAGAATATGTGATAAGCAAAGGATACTGATATCATTTAAAGAGCAGCATCTAAAACTCAGTGTAGGGCTGAGGATTTAGCTCAGTGCTTCCACTGCCTGCCTTGCAAATGCAAGGACCTGAGTTCAATCAATCCCCAGTACCAAAAAAAAAAAAAAAAGCAATAAAACTCAGTGTGAAAACTGTAATATTTCAGTGAAATATGTCCAGCTTTGCACACATATGTGGCACTAAAGATATGGGAAGATTTTTAGCTCACTAGCAATCAGGAGTGCAGACATAAACAGTGAGTCACCAATCCTGCTTCTCAAATTGTCTTTTAAATGTGTAACACCTAGTGAGAGTTCATAAAAGGAATTTGGGGATACTTTGACAAGATATATCAGAAAATTTTAAAATATCCACTAATTCTACTTGTCCTGATTTACCCTAAATAAGTTATCTTATAGATACCAAAGATGTAAATACAAGGGTATTGGTCATGGGGTCACTTAGCATAGTAAAAGATTATAAATAACTTTAGTAGTAATTACCTAAAGAAATGACAGCATATCTGCTGTATACTGTGCAACGAGATATTTGTGATATACTAAATGAACAAAAGCAGTTTATAAAACAGCACAGAGAATACTCCTGTTCTTATAAAGTGATAAATATTCTGTCTTTTGTCAACTACATTTTTTTCACATTTCAGTACCTCTGAGATACATCTTACAGTTGATTGTGTGATAAGTAATAGCTGACAGGGTTTTTTCTATCTTAAATTATGTAGAGTAATATATATCTTACAATTAATGACATCTTAGATTTGATGAAATATAGTATAATAAACAAGCAAGTCAAGAAGGAAATCATCAAAATGTTATAAATGGTCATTCCTGGGTGCTGAAAAAGCTGTAGGTAATTTTTATTTTTTTCTATGGCCTTTCCATAGTCTAAATATTTTATAGTAAGCCCATATTATACTTTATATTATAAACAAAAAACTAGAACTTTCTTATAAAAGTGAAATTTAAAGTCACATATGGTTGAGATGGTACTAAGCACTTAAGCAGCTGTAAGTGGACTCAAGTTGGTGGGTCCAGGTAGGGCATGGAATGTCCTTGCCACAGAACCACTCGCTGTCGTGCAAGTGAAGACCTTGAGGCGTGGAGGAGATGTGAAAATACTACAGAGGCTCACCGTCCCAGTTTGTAATTGTGGATTCTTTCTTCCGTCAACGAATGAGTTCTCTGGCAAATGCTGGCCAAGTTCTAAAGCTAATTATTAAACAGATAGTTTGTGAGCCTGTAGGGGAAAAGTGGAGGTCGTTAAGAGCCATTATAGATGTACTAAGAACTAATAATAATGCTTAACTAATTTCATTTCCTTTTTTGGTTAGGGCTACTAGACTGAAAGACCAGGGAAAGTCCCCTAGACATAATATAACTGGATTTCCACAAGGCATTTAACAGAGCCTCTTTTGATATCCTTGTGAATGAAATGGAGGGATATGGGCTCCAAGTTTCCCACTGCCTCCAGGAGAAAGCGCAGACTCCCTAGTGTGGCGCACAAGACCCTTTACCGCCCGGCCTCTCTGCCCTTCAGTGCCTCTCTGAGTCAGCTGTGCTCTTACTTTACGTCTGTGCCTCGGCACGTCCACTCCCTCTGCCTGGAATGCCCTTCTGTCACCTCCGCGTGCTAAGATAGCACTCACCTTAAACTTCAAACTTCAGTGCCAGCTCTTCCTTCGTACCTTCTAGCAGAATCCGTTGAGCGTTCCTCTGTGCAGCTGTTTTACTCCTTCACTCCAGCACTTACCCTACAATATTAGAATGATTTGTTATGTTTACCCTCCTCACTAGACTGTGAGCTCAAGGGCAGGCTGTCTTACTCTTCCTGTCTGAATCCCTAGTGTCTTCCACAGTTCCCGGCTCCTAATAGTTGGTGCTCAATAAATACTTTTCAAATGAATTTCTTAAATACAAAAGAGAAGAGTAAGCTTTGTGAAATGTATGATTCATTTAAAGTAATTAATTTAAACAGCTAACTTGAAACTCTTCCATACTGTTCTCTGTTTTATTAAAATCTCAATCGGATTTTTTTATTGTTAGTAAATTCCTCCAGTACAAAAAGTGCTATAGAGAAGTGAAGTTCTCCTTCCTACCCATTGCATTGTTCCTTCAGAAGACCCCATCCAAGATAATTCTTGGTTCCACTCTTCTCTTGGTGACCTCATCTAAGTTAAGAGCCTGGACCCAAAAATAGAGCCTAGAAAAGATACCAGTAAACAGAGCTTTAAAAGCCCTAGATAGCTTTAAATAGCATGGTGATTGGGAGCATGAATGTGAGAGTGAGAGTCGAGCGACTTGGGTCTGGATCCCAGCTTCACTGCCACCTCCTAGCCACGTGACTTTGGGCAAATAAGTTCCTCTCTCTGAGCCTCTTGTTTCCTTATCAGAGACATGAGGATTAAAGCCTGGCTGCAGCACAGGACCCGAACACACAATAAGTGCTCTTGAAGGAAATGGTAACCAACCATTCATTATCACCATTTCCCACCCTGATGCTTCGTTTTACAGCAGTGGAGATAGATTCGGCAGTATGTGGAAACATCCACGTTGTCATGTCTGGGGAGGGGGTGGGCGCAGGCCAAGGATGCTGCTAACATCCTCCAGTGCACGGGACAGATCCGCAGCAAAGGATGAGCCAGCCCCACGCTCAGCATTGCCATGTTGAGAAACTGCGTTAGAGATACACATGTCCACCAAGTTAGAATTACCCTTATAAAATCAGGCTATAGAGGGACAAAATTAAATTTGATGAGGTTAAAAATTTAAGCATATTTTGACCCTTATTTCATATTGATCAATCTTAAAGTCTAATTTTACATCACCAATTATCTTTATAATAAGGCTTTATGCAAAAATGCTTTTTATTCCTATTGCCATGGATGAGAAGATTTTGCTTAGACCTATGTGGTGGAAATTCTAAAGACTCAAAGAATGACCAGCACCACCAGATAGAGACACCAGGGTGAATGTAGGACACTCTGGGTGAATGTGATCACCATGGCACATGGCCCTTGGGCTGGGTTCCTTTGCAGTTGTGTCTATTCATACTTGTGTCTTTCCTTCTAGGAAAAAAACGTGACTACCAGAGTCTAGGATGGCCTAGCCCCGACGAGTGCCTCAAACTCCGCTGGGTGGAGCTCACTGCCATTGTGAGTACCTGGCTTGCAGTTTCTTCAAAAAACATTGAGTGAGTATCTTCACCCTGACCTTCCTTTGCACCATTCTTGTGCCTGGGATCCCCTAGGCTTCAGCTGACTTCAGGGAAGCCCTCTGTGTCAGCAGCTCTCAGAAGAGTCACCTGCTGGAGCTGTGGTCAGCAGAGGATGGCCTTGCTGGTCACAGCCCACAGGTGGACTCAACCCATCAACCCACAATAGGATGCAGTGAATGTGCCCCCTTTCTCGGTTCCGTTACCTACAGTCATGTATAGCTTAGTTTGAACTCAAGACCATATCCCTCTTTGTATAAGTGTAAAACTCATAGTCTCCCATGGACATCATAGGATCTACCCCAGGTCTTATAATCACTCCTAGTCAGACTGATGTAGTCCCAGGAACTTCAGTCGCCACTGATGTACCGACACCTCAAGTCTGGATCTCCAGACCAGACCATTCTTCAAAGCCCAGGCTTCGTGGCTTTTGTGTCTGTACCTCTCTTAGGCACCTCTAGTTCAAGAAAGCAAAACCCGCAATTTTCATGCCCATTGCCCACCTGTATTAATCACTTTCCCATTGTTGGGACAAAATATCTGACATCCACAACTTAAAGATGTTCATTTTGGCTCAGGTTTCAGAGGGTTCATTCCATGGTCAGCTGGCGCTGAGGCATGGAGGAGGAAAGCCGCTCAACCCATGGCAGACAGAAAGCAGAGAGCTGAGGAACCACAGAGAAAGATTCAGCCTCCTCAGGCACAGCCCAGTGTGCCCCTCCCTCCTCCACCGGGGCCAGGTCCTATCGCACATTCACTATGCACTCATCAGCGATGGGTCTGCCGATGAGTGCCGCGCCCCCGTGGTCCAGGCATCTTCCAGCAGCCCTGCCTCCGAACATAGGAGGTTTTAGGGGACCCTTTTAGATCTAAACCATAATGCCATCTAAAGAGCATTATTAGTTTCCTTTATTTTGCCATTTCATATTCTTAGTAAATATCTCCACCAGTGCCGTTGCCATTAACCTGGGTATCATCCTGAATCATCTTTTTCCCTTATCTTTCAAACCTGGTGGTGACCAATTCTTAGTACTTTCCCTCCCTGAGAACTTTTCAAAGTCATCTGTGTACTTTGCTTTGTCTGCACTGCTGCCTCCTTAAACCAAATGACCACTGTCTCCTGTAGGTACGTAGTATATATAACGTCTCGCTGGCCCTCTTGCTATCTTCACTTTGGCCTCTGTCCCATCCATTTGCTGCACGGTACTCAAAATTCTTGAAATGTAAGCCAGATCATTCTTAAAACAGTCTAGTAACTTTTTTTTTTTTAAATAGTGCTGGAGATCAAACCTAGGGCTCCCTATATGCTGGTCAGATGCTCTCCCGGCTTTCCACTAACTTCTTCCTGCTGTTTAAAGCAGCCTACAAATTCTCCTGCTCTGTTCCCCGCCTCCCTCTGTCTTCAGCTCCACCCTCCCTCTGGTCAGGGCTTTCTCTCACGGTGTGGCCTTTCCCTGTGATGTCTCACTGATCTCACCTCTTTCACCCCCGCTCTCCTCCTGGTTTCTCCTTAAATCTCGCTTCTTTAGGGAACCCCACACCAGCCACTCCTTCCAGATGCAGAGGAAGTAAATACTCTCCTACGATACATTTTCCTTATACCACGTTTTCGCCTTTTGTGCCTTACTACGTCTGTAGGAAGTGAATGCCCCCTGAACAGCAACCATCATAAGAGCAGGCACTACGTATGTTTTCTGTATTGTAGCCCCGGTGTCTGACACATAGTAGTCTCAGAATAGGTAAATAACAAATGGATCAATGAATGAATGAATGTTTGCCTGAGATAGTTTGAACTCTGTATAAAGCCTTTTTAAATTTTTACAGTAAATTTGGCAGTGCCACCCTGCCATACCAGTTCATGTGATAGTCTAGAATATTTAGCCTGAGTGCAGGGAGAAAATGATCGCCTGGCTTCATTACGGGAAGTACTTATATCTCATACAGAGTATGGTGCACAGCTGTATGTGTATAAAATTGACTAACCTTTAGATGACCTGTGAGGACAAGCGTGCTTCTGTATGTAAAGGAAAAGTGAAAGATTCGAACGAGTTGCAGGGTTCATTGTTACCTGTACCCTGGGAGAAGAACTCCTAGAAGAAAACCCACCTATTTCACCCCACCCGGGGGGCGTAGCAAATGGGAGCTACGATCAGCTGATGGTTAATACTCTCTTGTCAGCCCACTCAGACCCTCCATAGCTGACATGGTCATCTCTGTTTCCCAGCATCACGGAACACATCGATTTTGCCACCCCCATACAGCAGCCAGCAACAGAGCCACTCTGCAACGGCAATCTCCCCACGAGCATGCACACCCTAGACCACTTGCATGGCGTGTCCAACCGAGCCAGCCTGCACTACACGGGTGAGAGTCAGCTCACAGAGGTGAGTGCTCAGGCTTGCTTTAGTGTCACAGTTGCAGTGTGACTGGTACTGGGAGGCATAGCCACCGCTATCTTTCAGTTGACTGTTTTCTGGGTGCCTTCAGGCCAAGCCTAGTCTTTTAGGCCCTGGGACCAAGCTTATGCGTTTTTTTTGTTTTTGTTTGTTTGTTTATAATTACGAACTTTTAGCTCTGATTTACCTCTCAAGGTGTATAGTATTGTTTCTTCCCATTAGATAGAGGCCTTGAGAGAAATATTTTCCTGTTACAATTCTTAAAAAACAAAGAAAGGGAGGCAAACCCTAGCAAAGAAGATGGGGTGAATAAATTTTGGTACAGATATAATATACAATGACACCATCAGGAAGGAGATAGTAAAAATACATTTATCAGAATGAAGACATTTTCAGATTACCTAAAAACATATGTTATAGTACACCACGTAATCTCACACTTTATAAGGATTCTGTATATATGTAGAAAAGTATTTGAAAGGTGTGCATGTGTGCGTGTGTGCGTGTGTGTGTGTGTGTCTGTCTGTCCAGTGCCTTTAACGGTGGCTGTGTCTGATGACAGAATTACGTAGTTTTTATATCCTTTATTTTCAAATGTTGCTGTAACAAACGTGTTTTACATGTCCGTAGATTTTATGAAGTGAGGGAGGGCTGCAGGGATGCCAGAACAGTATAAATGTGCCTTCCACGGACGGCCTGGTGAACAGGACCGCAGCACGTGTCCCCAGTGCCCAGCTCAGTGTTAGCAGCAACATCTAGACCGTGCCTCCTTTCACTCGTCTCATCTGCCATCTCCCTTCCCTTCCAGGTGCTGCAGAATCTTGGCAAAGACCAGTACCCTCAGCAGTCACTTGAACAAATTGGCACCCGAATTGCCAAAGTTTTGGAAAAGGTAAGTCAGTCCTCAGGGGCCCTGGAAACTTGCCCACCCCTGACTTCTTTGTCAGAGTTTTTGCTCCTGAATGGCTCACACCTCTTCTGGTCACTACTAACCAGTGACCAGTGGCACAATGTGAAGTAAGCACACTCAGGTGTTCCAGTTGCTTTCCATTGTTTTTCCCATCGCTGGGTTAATATTCTTTTCTTCTTCATTTGCCTCCTGTGGTGAAACTTAGCCACTCACTTCTCTCTCCTTTACTGCAACACAAGCATGTAGAGGTGGTGGAAGCCACACTGTCTAGGGATATGCAGTAAGTCAGGTGTTCTCCTGTTGGTGGACAGTGGTGTTTTGGATAGTAGTTGGGAAACATATCTTAAAATATCTTTTCTCTTTAAATCATGACACAAAGTATTCATAAAATTGCATTTTCATGCTCTTTTATCTCTGTGTGATATTTGTGTAAAGAGGAATTTTTAAATTTTAATTTGATTGTGTTATGGTGAAGAATGACTCCATTCCATTACTATATAATATTGAAGCAGTTATAAAACAGTGATTAAGAGAAGCAGCTCAACTTCCCATATGAATATGACAGTATGAGATAATTTCTTTCCTCCTTTGGCTGTCACACATGGAAAAACCACCAGCACATTCCGTCTATAATGAAACCAGGGAGCAGATGTGATCCTCAGACTCCAAAAATATCAGAATTGCCAAAAGTGGTTAAGATCAACACAGATGTCATGCAGAATAAATTGTAGCAGAAGCTAAGCTGGTATAGCAGTTTCAAAATATGTCAAGAAAAATCTACTACATGAAGGAACTTTCAACAGATAGCCCACACAGGAAAGTCCTGAGAAATAAAAATAGCATTGATACAAATATATAAGAAAACCATAGAAAAGAGCAGTAAAACTTACCAATGAACACTCAACAGAAAAATATTGTCATGGGACAGATTCTGTTTCAGAGACTAGACCTTGCCATGATTTTTTTAAAAAATCTTATTAAACAATTTGTCTGAATGAATAAAGGTCACAAAGCAAAGAATATAAAAACAGAAGATAGAAACCAGAAATACAGTTTAAGATTCCCTTATCAAGAATGCTTGGGAAAATAGAAAAAAATAATCACAGAAATGAGGACAGAATTGGAAGGAGCCACAAGGAAAATACAAACAGAAAAAAACACATAAGACAGAAATGACCAAACTGACCAAAATAGTTAAAAAGATTTGGAGAGAATATGGACAGGTAAAAATACATTTAAAGCTAGAATTCAGTAAGACTGAGCAAGTCTTATTTTTATCAAATATACCTAGTTAAAAGGCCATACTGTGTGCAAGAGAAAACTGATCCAAAATAGCCAGCAGCATTGCTTATTCAAGCAAATTACGTCAGTGTAGAAAGGAGCTGTCCTTGACACCAGCACTGCAGCCGACTGCTCTCCAAGAGAAGACACTTGTACTTTGGAGCAACTGGATCCTCCATAGGGCAGAGTGGGGGCAGCGGATGTTATTGTTGGCTTCACAAGAAGTAGGTCCCTAAAGACCTTTCTCTTCAGTGAAGGAAGGGCGGGAAGGAGGGAGGGGTTAGACAGATGCAGCGTAAACTAACTGAAAGCTGGCCTGGAGCTCCAAGAGGCCAGGTCCATTTGAGGACAGAAGTTGGTAAGCTGAGTACTGAGCCTTGAGCCAATGACTAGTTGAGCTGAGCCTCAGAGCCCCACACTGAGCTGTTGCAAGTTACACAAGAACAGCTTACAGTAGAATTAAGACTAAAAACTGAGGTCGTTGGGTAAAAGGAAAATTCGAAAAGAGAGTCAGCAGAATATTGGAACAAGTTATAAAGAAATTATTTCCAAATGAAGTCAAAATAAAAAGAAACATAAGAGCGAATAAACACAATGGATAGTGCCTAAGGAAAACAGAAGGCAGAGATGAGGGCATTTGGTTGGGTCTGGTTTGGTCTGATTTAGTTTCTTTTTGAGATAGGGTCACACTGTATATAGTTCAGGCTGACCTCAAACTCACGATGATGCTCTTACCTCAGCCTCCAAAGTGCTGGGATTACAGGTGTGCACCACCATGCCTGGTCTCAAAATAGGATATTTAAAGAATCAGACTAGAATTGAGGGTGTAGCTTAGTGATAGAATGCCTGCTTAGCAAGCACAAGGCCCTAGGTTCAAATCTTAGCACTGCCAAAAAGGAAAAGAAAAATAATGTACTTTGAAAAAAATAAGAAGCTATAATTTTTATAGATAAATTGAAAAACCTAAATGAAATAAATATTTTAAGCCAGAATACAACTTAGAATAGTTGACCTTGGAAAAGACAGACTCTAATTAAGACCAATTACCATAGAAATATTGGAGAAAATAGTAAACTCCCATTATGTTCAGTGGACCCAGACAACATCATGGAACATTTCTACTAAACTTTAAAGATGAAGAAATGCCGATGCTGCTATATTCTGCAGCACTAAAACAGGAAAACTTATTTTATGAGGCAGATAAATTATTGATCCTCAAACGTGAAAGAGTTAACATCAAAAAGAAAACTACAAAGCCTATTCACTTCTCAATGTCAGTTCAAAAGTGATCAACAAAATATTGGCAAACAAAATCCAACAGCACATTTTAAAAACAGTAAGTCATGACCAAGGCCTTTATTCCAGAAATACGAAAGTGATTCACTATTTGAAAACCGTTACCATCCCTCAAATTCACACAGGTAAAGGGGAAAATATACAGTCATTCCCAAACTTGAGCAAACATTGGACATATTTTGTACCAACTTACATTAAGGACTCTAGGAACTGTTAGTTACTTTTCTTAACATGATACTCAACATGCATGAGTGTTTGTCCACTCGCGTGCAGGTGTGCGTGTGTGCAGAAATGCCACAACCTCCCTAGATGCTGTCTAGGCACTTTTCTGCTAAAGAACAAGAAAGAATGTGCATTGTATCTACTTTACTTCACACAATTTGGAGATAATAATGTAGAGAAAGAAAGAAAAGATATTCAGACTGCCTACTTGTACTTACTATCATATGTCTGAAAAAAAACCACAAATGCATCCATGGAAAAACAACTACAAAAAATAAGAGAATTTAATCAAGTAACAGGTCAAAATCAATCAATAAAAATCTTATTAAAAATTAATGCACTTAGGGCCGGGGATTTAACTTAGTGGTTCCACTGCCTGCCTCTGCAAGTGCAAGGTCCCAAGTTCGATCCATGGTACCAAAAAAAAAAAATTAATAAACTTATTTTTCAAGTTAGGATGTAGTAGTGCAGGGAAGTGCATGGAGCAACTTGAAAAGCCAGATAAACTTAAAATCACATTTATAAAGATCAGCCAACTAGAAGCAATGGCACAGGAAAGCGCTAAATGACTAATGACAGAGGAAACTTTCCAAGGTGGGTTGGTTATTACAAAATGTTTTCCTCTACCCAGGGGCTTTTGTTGATTCTAAAAATGAACTAAGACCAGGGAGAATCACAGTGTTGGGGGAAAGAGGAACAATAAAGCTAGTAGCACTTGCTCAAGGTGGGATTAACAGATTGGAAACCAAATACATGGCCTTTTTTTCCCCCCAAGGAGCATTAAATTAGAGCTAAGGCCACAAAAGAATCTGGGGTATTAGGCTCAAAACTTAGGAAAAGTAGAATGAAATAGCTTCATCTCACACTGCTTAGAAAACAGCCAACCCTACACACATGGATAGCCTTTCTCTGACCTTATACTGTATGCAAAAATTAATTCAAAATGGGTCAAAGACCTAACATAAGACATAAAACTATACAATTCTTAGAAGAAAATATGAGGGAAACCCTTCAAGACATTGGATTTGGCAAATATTTCTTGTATAAGACACTAAAAGCATGGACAATAAAAGTAAATAGATAAACAGGGCTACATCAGAATTTAAAACTTCTATGCATCAAAGGACATTAACAGCAAAACGAAAAGGCAACCTATAGAATAGGAGGAAATATTTGCAAAGCATATAGCTTATAAAGGGTTAATATCCAGTATATATAAAAAATTCCTATAGTTCAGTAATAGAGCCAAATAAGCTAATCTGAAACTATGTAAAGGACATGAACAGACATTTCTCCAAAGATGACACACAAATGGCCAACAGCATAAGAAAAAATGGTCAACATCTCTAACCACATAAATGCAAATCAAAACCACAATGACCTATTGGCCCATTAAGTTGGCTACATTTAAAAAAGTAAAATAAAGTAACAATGATTGGTGAGGATATAGAGAAATTAGAATCTTTGTGTACTGTTGGTGGAAATAAAATTGTGCAGCTGCTATGGAAAAAGTATCATAATTTCTATAAAATTTAAAAATACAATTATCATATCCAGCACATCCACTTCCATGTATAAAAAGAATCCATCTTCCCACTCATTCTTTCTGCCGCCATCTTGGTTCCACATTCTTCCCATAAAATGCCTAGTGAAGCTGTCCTTGCTATAAAGCAGGAGTTGCCATAGCCCCAGGCTTAGACAGGGTCTGAAACAGATCTGACAGTGATAATCATCAGTAAGGAACCAGTCAGTAAAGCAGAACAGAGTCCACACAAAAAGAAGGCACAGAAGGCTTTATCCAAACTAGGACTTGGGCAGGTTACAGGGGTTACTAAGGTCACTATCTGAAGTCTAAAAATACCCTCTTTGTCATCACAAAACCAGATGTCTAGAAGAGCCCAGCTACAGATACCTACATAATTTTGGGGGGAGCCAAGATTAAGGTTTTATCTCAGCAAGCAGTTAGCAGCTGGTGAGAAATTCCGTGTTCAGCGTGAAGCTGTTTCAAACATTCAGTAAAGCACACAAATTCCAACTGTATGAGAGAGAACGGGAAGAGGTTGATGGAACAGGAGTGGAAGTTAAAGACGTAGAATTGTTAAAGACAGGCAGTCAGAGCCCTGAAGAACAACAGTAATGATATTGTATATGCTATTATGGAGGTAACAATGTAACCATCTGAAAGAAGGACTTTTTTGTCATTTAAAAAGGATAACTGAAACTTGGTTTAAAATTTGTACTCTTTCTATCACAGACTGATGGCTTATTGGGGGAAAAAAGAAATTACCATCTGAGAGGAATATTTCCACACCCATGTTCCTACCAGTACTGTTCACTGTAGGAAAGAGGTAGAAGCAATTCAGATCAACAGAGGAATGAACAAGCAAAATGTGGTATATACACGCAGCACACTGAGCTTGAGAAGAAAGGAAACTGGGGCCCGGGATTTAGCTCAGTGGTGCTGCGCCTGCCTTGCAAGTGAGGGTCCTGAGTTTGAACCCCGCTACCCAGAAAAAGAAATTATGACACATGCTACAAGACGGATAAAATCTGGAAGAATTCTTGTAAATGAAATAAACCAGTCACAAAAAGACAAACTCGGATTGGTTCCACTTGTATTAGGTATCAAGGGTAGTCCAATTTGTAGAATCAGAAAGCACAATAGTGGTTGCCAGGGACTGGATGGAAAGAGTTGTTGTTTAATGTGTATAGTTTCAGGGTTACCAGATGAGAAGGTTCTGAAGATTGGTTCTACAGCCAGTGTGGATCCTCTAAACATTGCTGAATTTTACACTGAGAAATTATTAAGATGGTCCTTTTTATATTATGCTGTTTTTACTAAATTTTTAAAATCAGGTTAGACCTCATAATATATAATTTGTCCCAAAAGAACATGACAGACCCCTGGAAAATATCCAAACCAAAGCATGTAAACATAAAGGAACTTAAGGGTGGTTCAGATAAGGCCATAAAACATGTCTGCAACGCGTTAAAAAGGAAAAAAGCTTCACATATGGAGTACCAGGAAGAGTAAAGCGAATGGGGCAGAAGCAGTGTTTGAAGATTTAATGGCTAAGAAGTTTCTAAAAATAATGAAAGACATTATTCCACAGACTCAGGAGAGTCTGCTACCCACAAATATAAATACAAAGAAGCCCCATTATAACATCATAGCAAACTACTATAAGAAAAGACAAAGAATAAAATCGTGTTTGTTTGTTTGTTTGGTACCGGGAATTGAACTCAGGTCCTTATGCTTGCGGGGCAGGCGGCGGAACCACTGAGCTAAATCTCCAGCCCAAGAATAAAATCTTTAGAGAAAGAAAATCACTTTCAAAGGAACAGCCATAAGACTGGCAGTGAGCTTTCAGTGGAGCAGTGGAACCAGGACACAAAGGAATGACATCTTAGTTGCTAAATAAAAGTACTGCCAACCCAGAATTCTGTACTCTGCAAATATCCTAGAAGAATGAAATAATCCCTATCATGGTATTGGTGGAAAGACTGCAGAGCGAAGTAAATGGAACAGAACAGAGAGGCCATAACTGTATGGTCAAATAATTTTCTACAAGAGCACCACAACATTTGAATGTGGGAAGTAAAAATCTCTTCAACATATGGTTTTGGAACACCTAGATATTCATAAAGAATAAAATAACCCATACCTCACATAATCCACTGCAACTTGAGGTGAATTATAGACAAAAATGAAAGTAAAACTAAAGCTACCAGGACAAAACATAAGAAAATATATTCAAGTCTTCAGTGTATTTAGACAAATAGTTTTTAGGACATAACAAGCATGTGCTATACAAGAGAAAATTGATAAATTGGATTTCATCAAAATTAAAACAGAAAAAAAAAAAAATTAAAACAGCAGATACCTAACAGACAAGCCACAGATTGGGACAAAATAATCACAATACATGTATTTCACACAGGATGAGAATCCAGAATATATAAAGAACTCCTGCAATACAGACTAAAACCCAGTGCAATACCACTTAAATACCCCTGGAAAGGCTAAAATGAAAAAGATTGATACTGATAAATGTTGAGGTGGGTTTGGAGCAGCAGGAACTCTTACACTGCTACTGGGATTATAAAATGGGATGATCATTTTGTAAGCAGTTTGGCAGTTAAACATATGAGACCCAGTAATTTTACTGCTAGGTATGTATCAAAGAGACATGAAAACATATGTCCACAAAAATACTTGTTTAAAAAAAAGTTGACAGCAGCTTTTTTCATAATAACTAATGAAAATGGAAACAGTGAGATACTTGTCAGGAGAAGAACGGGTGAGCACTGGTATATTCATACATTGGATACTATTCAGCAAGAAAGAACCAACATGGTGAATCTCAACAATATGTTAACAAAAGAAGTTGGGCACAAAATAATGCATAATATCTCATTCCGAGTATATCAAATTGTGCACTAGTTAGAATTAACCTGTGGTGAGCGAGGAGAGGCAGATCAGTGATTGCTTCATGGGGAATGGCATTGGCTAGAAAGCAGCATGAAAGAACTTTCTGGATAGTTGTATATTTCTGTCTCTAGTTGTCAAAACTGAATGTTACATTTAAGTTCTCAGCATTTCTCTCTATGTAAATTATACCTCCATTTTTTAAAAATAAAGATGAAATATATTAGACCACCTAAAACTAAAATATATATGTTATCTGCCTACAGACTTGCACTAAAAATTAACTACCAGGCTTTTTCAGGCAGAAGGAAAATTATCTCAGATGGAAGCTTAGAAATAAAAGAAATAGCAAAGAGCAACTGAAAGAGTAAATAGTGGAGAACACAGAAATAGATATGGTGCTACAAAATAAAGACATCTTCTAAAGTTAAGATGTTTGACAATGGTAATACAAAAGCAGGAGTTGCACTGACCATCTTAGGTAGTCCTGGATCCAGTTTGACATGTCACATTCAGCCAGCTCAGCAGGCCTCACTTAGCCTGCTCACTCAGAAATATGTGGGATGGGAAATGCAAGATCCGCTACCACAGCAGGAGGTTGTGCCTTCGTGGTGAGCCTCACCCTAGTCCAGGGGCCATTCTCTGCCAAGTGACAGGTCAGGTACAAGAGAACACATAAAACAATTCATTGTGGTAACCTACCATAGTTTAGGTGTCGAAAGTTCCAAATAAGAATCAGTGTCTTGTATAATGGGGAATATTTTACTACCCATCTATGCAAAGGGGCATGATTGGCTATAAGAAGCGTAGCACTCAAAAAGCTCAAAACTACTTTCCATGATGTATTTGTAGCTTATTTGCAGTTGTGTAATCCAGATTCTGTTTACCGGAGTCATTTGAACCAGTAGATATTGACTACATTGACTTGTAAAAGTTTTCCCCCTCTATTAGGTTTTCAGGGGAGCAGAGCTTGAAAGTTTACCCAACACTGGTTTCCATTGTAGGCTCACAGACTAACTTTCATGACCCTGAACTAACTTTGGTACAGTACTCAGACTTTAGGGTACATCAGAATCACAATCTTGTTAAAATATAGATTGGTGGACCCCTGTGACCTCACTTCCATATTCAGTAGGTCGAAGAATTTACATCTCTAATTAATTCCCAGGTTATTCTGCTAGCCTGAGAACTATATGTTGAAACCAGTGCCTCAGGAAATGGCAGTGATAATAGAAGTGCTGTTTTCCCATTTACCCTTCAGAAGGCAGCAAGAATCTCCATATTCTCTTGCTTTCATCTTTTAAAAATAGTCATTATTATTTCTTCAGATGTCCATCGGTAGTTGTCTTCAGGAAGTTGAGTTTGCATTGCCTGCATCACTATTAGGATGACATTAATCAGACTCCATTTAGAACATTGTCCAAACCTCAAGTTGCAGCTGAGGTTGCTCCACCCACATGGTGCTCAGAACCCTCAACAAAGTCTCCTGCCCAGGGGGCCCAGATTTGCACCTGCAGTTTGTGCACCAGGTTGCTACGTAGTCCTATTTGACCGTGTGAACTGGTGCAGAGTAGTTCTCCACTTATGTCCCCAACCTCCACAGCTATGGGCCTGTAGACACTGTCCCATGCTGATTGGATCAGTTCCATTCTCTTTGTCCACAGGCCCAGCCACAGACATGGAGTTCAATCTCACGTGCTTGGCTCCTCCCTGCCCTCTGAGCCATCTATGTCGAGTTTGGCCCCAATGCATCAGCTACACCAAGGCATTATTCCTGCCATTCAGCCCAGCTCTCGCAGCTGGGTTTCTGATTGGGTCCATTTCATGGACAGTGGACAGGAGTGGGTAGTTTTCTCAGCATCAAATTGTCTCCAGCTGTTATCCCTTCCCACAAGGGGAAGTTTTATCCTGTTGCATGATGCTAAGCTTTCACCATCAAACTATGGGAAAATTGGCACCCCATGAGGCCTCAGTCTTTTCTGTCCATGCCTTTTATGTCCTAAGGCTTGGCTGTGTTGAACTAAAGCTGTGAAAGTCCATTTTGCTCTTGCTACTACTACTCTGCAATGTCCAGTGGTTTAAGATCTATCTAGATAAGTCATTCTTATACAGTATACCTCACCTCAGTAGGCCACACATGGCCTTGCCTTCACTAAGAACGGAGAACAAGAGGAGATACAAGAAGCCAGTAGTGCAGCTTTTCATGTGTTTCTCCCAGAGCCCCAACACTGTGTGACAGCAGTCCCAGGGGACTGTTCTCTTCCCCTCCTCTCAAGTAACATGTCCAAGACAAAGGCTCAGGACCACCAAATGTGGGAACATTCTGGCTTAGAGATCTCAATTTTTTTCCTGCCCCAGCAAGGCCCAAGCAACATCACAGTTTGGAAACCCTAGAGGTGTGGCTTTCAACCAGGTCATTGACAATTCTCCCAGTCTGCTTGCAGTTTAACTGTCAGTACTATAAGCAGTGCTGCCTAGTAACACAAGTGGCGTTTTGCTTTCATTAGGTTTCAGTTTTCGGGGAAATGCAGCTAAAAAGTTAACAGGAGATTAATTTCACATGAGTATGCATTGATAAAGTGTTAGTTTTAATATTATCAGGAAAGTAAAAAGTAGTATTGTATATTTTTACTCTTTAATAAGTTGAAGGTGCCTGTTATGATCACAAAAAGAAAAGTTTCAGGAAAAATGGAATAATAGAAACACTGTGTTAATTCAAGAAAAAAAGGACAAACTGAACAAACGGGTGGGTAAAATGAAAGGCAAATAGTAAAATGATAGAGATAAACCCAATGTGTTGGAAAGCACAGTAAATACAAAAGGACTAAGTATTAGTTGGAATACTAATATTAGCATACTGCCTTAAAAAACTGAATCCAATTGTATGCATCATAATAGTAACACACTCTAGCTAAGTGTGGTGGTACATACTTGTAGTTCCATCTATTTGGGACCTTGAGGTACGATCACTCATGACAGTAAATGGAAACAGTTGCACAGCTGGAGGGGACAGGCTGGATACAAAGTCCCCCTTGGATGTTCATTGCCTGTGAACTTCCACACAATGGAGATTTTCACAGCTGTCAAGAGCAAGGACCACCCTTGTGACCTAGAGGTAATATCTAGGATATATGAAGTGGAGAAAAACCAAATTGGAAGAAAAGTCCTCTTACCTTACTATCTTTTTTGTTTCCCTAACAGGAAGGGACAGAGAACTATATAGACAGGAAAACTGAAAGATGCTTTTTAATGGAAGAATAAATCTTTAAGGTATTTTTAAATGATTTCCCATTCAGGAAAGAAGAAAATAGGGCAGAGGGGACAGGAAAATAATCTGGAGATTTCCTTGAATCTGCATTATTTTATCAGTTTGACTTTAGAATCAAAGATTTTATGTAATGACAAAAAATAAGTTTTAATAAAGCAGTTCCTAACAAAGTAAATTTGAATGGACCTAACTAGGTATTCAGTTTATGGCTGCATCAAGAAGGATTATTTTTAATGACTTCAAAACACACTTATTTGACTGTACATCCCTAATGCAATTTACCCTACGAACAAAAGAAAATCTTACACTGTTTTCAATGATACTGTTGGTAACAGTATTGATAGTGCTTCTCTGAGATTGTATGTATATGTATTGTGAAATAAGTAATTGGAGATTTTTTTGGTTTTTTTTGAGACAGGGTCTCGCTATGTAGTTCAGACTGGTCTTGAACTCCCTAAGAAGCCTAGGCTGACCTCGAACTTGTGGCAATCCTCCTGCCTCAGCCTCTCAAGTGTTAGGATTACAGGCCTGTGCCACTACGCATGGCAGGGAGTTGTTTTGAATTTTGTTTTTAACTGACATCATTGTACATATTCATAGGCTATGATATGTTGCTTCTGTACATGCATATACTGTATTGTGTAATAATCAGGTCGGGGTGTTTAGCATTTCCTTCACCTCAAATACATTTCTTTATGGTGAGGACATTCAAAGTCCTTTCTTTTAGTTTTTTTGAAATATACAATATAATATTATTAGCTATGGTGCTCTGTACAGAACACTAGAACTTATTCTTCCTATAACCTGTACTTGTGTATCTATTTACCGGTCTCTCTTGCCTTCCCTCTACCCTTTGCAGATTTTGGTAACCATGATTCTCTTCTGAACTTCTCGGAGGTCATCTTTTTTAAATTCCACAAATAAGTGAAATCATGCAGTATTTGTCTGTGACTGGCTTGTTTCACTTAACATAATGTCCTCCAGGTTTATCCATGTTGCCCCAAATGATGAGAGTTCATCCTTTTCATGGACAAGAGTATTCCATTGTGTGTACATCCCACATTTTCTTTATCCAGTTCTCTGTTAGACTGATTCCATGTCCTGACTATTGGGAATAATGCTGCATGGGAGTGTGGATGTCTGCTGAACACACTGATTTCATTTCCTTTAAGTGTATACACAGTAATGGAACTGCTGGATCATATCTTAGTTCTATTTTTAAGAACACTTCTTACTGCTTTCTAAATGGCTGTACTAACTTACATTCCACCAACAATGTTTAAGAGTTCCTGTTTCTCCATCTCTATGCCAGCATTTTTTAGTTTTTGTTTTTGTCTTT